TGCATGTTTTTAAATTGTTTTACACCTGATTTAGCGTCTGTTGACAAACTTTACAAAATTCTTTTACAGCTACTTTAAACACATAAACAGTGGTTTATGTTACAAGACAGAAACAGAGAATTTTTTTGATGAGAAATAAACTTTTTCAGCAGTTTTTCTCACGTCCCTATTACTCCACTCCCAAAGTTCACGATTTTTTTCAAGCCGTGAATCTCAATTATATTTCAAGGTTGTCTCATTTTGTAATTGTTAAGTTTTTGATTACAGATTTTTTGGAGTAAAGTTTTACAAGACTCAAATTAATATATGCTATGCTCCGTTTCTTTTTTTCTATTTATTAACTCCCTAAACTCTATGTTAGATGAAAAGAAAGTGCTTAATAATAAAATTAAAATCTAAAACTTTACCAAAAACCGCAGCGCTTCATACTGCTGCCCAACTCTCGCCTTCAAAAAATTAATAAAAAATTATTTACTAAAATGATGTAAGATGGAAGATGAAACAGATCAAAAGGATAAAATTAAGCAATAATAAAAGTGAGTTTCTTCAATTATTCCAAAAAATGTCGAGAAATTAAGCAGCTAGAACTAGTCAAAAAAAGCTAGTCCGAATAGATTCAGTTATAAGTAAAAATAAAACAGAAATAATGGCAAACCGTATTTTCTCTCAAAAAAAAATCGTAATTTTCTGTTAGCCCTTATTTTAGAAATCAACTTAGTCTATTCTGAAAGTAATGGCCACCGAAAAGTGAATTTTCAAAAAGAAAAACTCAGAAAATTTCATCAGTAGAACGTTGGATACGGTAACCATCACAACCTTTTTTCAATTTTCTGCATTCACAGCAGTCAGCAGTTGCCCACGGATCCGGTACTCTAAATCACCAAAGACAACAGAAAAAAAAAACAGCAGGAAGATATCAGAAGATGGAGCGAAAACTACAGCTTGGAGACGCAAACTTGGCTTGTATACGAATCGAGTTCTCCTCGGAGTCATATTTTACTATTTGTCACTATCTGCTAATGACTGTAGCTTTTTTCAAGGGAATTTTTCTACCAAATTATGGTTAATTCCCCCAGTATATTAATGAAGCTTGTAAATAATTTCTTTTTGCTGTATGAGGAATTTGAGGAAATTTGACAATCTTTTTTTAAGTGTATTTAAACTCAAAAAACAATCAAGAATCAGTCTCTTGTCAAGCACAGAAAAATTCACAGTGTGCAACTTTCCCTGTATCGTACGTTCGTAAGGCGGTAAACTCCAATTTTTCTTCCCATAATACTATAGTTTAAACGATTATTTCTTGGTTCACAAAACTAAATCATTTCACTTCTATGATTACAGCAAGTCTTTAATTTTTTAGCCCAAAGAAAACAGCTTATTCCACAGTTTTCAGAGAGTACTAACTGACCTCGAATTATAAGCCACTTGACCTTCAAGACATTCAAAATCGTCCAAAATTGAGGAGAGCGAAAGCTGTTTTCACATTATTTAAATTAGAAACTTCAGGGTGCAAGAACTGAGATTTATTAAGTCAACAAACACATGCTTCTAAACAGCGTGAAATGACAAACGCAAAATTCGACCTCTAATCCAGGAAATAAGTTGAACCCCGTTAAAGTTGAAACAGCAGCGAAGCAACTTGGAATCAGATTGCTCTCAAAATTTTGGCTAAGCTATGGATAGACAAGCCAAAAAATGCCTTCTTCATTGTTAGCCTGCACCAACTTTCGCACAGAAGTTTAGACCTAACTGCATAAGGTTAATCTAGTTAAGTCGAAATTGACTGGATGCGTCTTCGTAGCTCAGTAACGTCCTAAAACTGACAATTTCACGACTCATGCCGCTTTTCGCGATAGCACCTTGTTCGTTATTTATCTGAGACGACCTCTTGTCCACAAAAACACACGGTAATCTAATCTGTCCACAGTGCTCTGCCCCCTCCTCCGTATAGCTTTCGTTCACAAAAAAAACTGTATAATACTTAATTTCTCCTGTCTTGTTACCTAAAATCTACTTTGCCTCTTGCTAATCCTGCACAGCAAGACAATCAGCCCAAAACAATAATAGTAAACGATGTATTCAAAAGATAATAATAGAAAAGTTCTATTAAACTAGAGTGAAAATGAAAGAAACAGAGAACAAAAAAATAGAATGTAAAATTAAAGGTACCAAGCCCGAAAGTAAAGATGAAGAACACCTGGGAAGTAAAGTCTGAAACTGCCAAATCCGAGCACAAACGTAGAAGGATTTCATAAAACTCGCACTAAAGAAGACCTTTAAGTAATGCTTGTTCAATCCCACTTCTATAACTTTACGTTTGACCGCCATGCTATGCTACTTTTGACCACTTTTTCTGTGTTTAAACATCTAAATATTCAATTTCCAATTAGTCAGTTTACTTTTACGTCTTTTCAGGATTGTTGGAAGCGGCAAAATACAGAGCGGACTTCGCGGTCGGTCACGACAACCTTGCTAATCACACATGACAATGGAATAGAAACTAGCTACAACACGTACCAAATCCAGTTCTCCTTAAGGCTTACTTCTTGTTTTCCTGGTAGTACCTTCGCTAGCGTAACAGTACGTTATTTTCACAATGCGCATCTTTCACCAAAACGGGTATAGAACAAGTATATGCCCATAAACGGTCTGCGCTCAAAGTAGATTTCTCGACCACTGTATCAGGTCACAAAAAAAAATCAGGATCGTTCTGGTGCATATATTAAATACATTCCTGAGAGCTCTCTTACAAAATTTGTTTAGTCATCTATTACAGCGAGTTGGTGGATGCAGCTTCCACGAACTCATCTAACTTATCTTATTTTTGAGCTGACCAAAAAATGGGGACAACAAACGTGGCAATTGCGAATGAAAAATTTGTATGGAAGGTGAACCCAAATCTTCCCGATTTTTAAGACTCGCTTACAGAAGGTCATCGCCATTTGGTTGCAACATGCGATACTGATGGACAAGTGTTTTGGTCTGGCATAAAACTTAAAATATTGCTTTAGCACAAAACTCTTAGAACGCCGAAAAGTATCCAGACAAGTTTGGAACTGTCATAGACGAATTAGGAAGGACCGGAGAACCGAAACATAAAAGGCCAAAGCAGGTTAATGGTAAAAAGAACTGCGTTCCGGAGTTAAAACGCCTTACTGCCTCAGCACCACAATTCGCAACCAGGCGACAAATCTCGCTACTTCTCTCAAAGCAAAAATTTCGCAACGAAAAAAACCTAGAAAGCGCTAAAAAATTTAGTAAAGTTGGCAATTATCCATCTCTCGAACTTTAATTCCGATTATTAGCATTAAAAAAAATGTTCGTGGATTTGGAGCTTAGCTTCAGCCTTGCTATCTGTTTTGGTTCCTCTTGGCTTGGGCAGATTGTAAAGTCGCTTCCGTATTACTTTTTTGGTGCGAGAAATGAATTATTGGGAATGCTACTGAGTGTCCTTTGAGCAAATATTATTCTAACTTTTTTGAGCTTTGTTTACAATAGATTTCTGCGTTCTTTGTTGCGATCTTGATTTGATGATAGTGGATCTTGTTCAAAGATGACGTTCTGGCAATTTTTACGGGATTAAAGTTTTTACGATGAAGTCGCAACGTCAGAAGTTGGCGTTGAGTTCTCGAGTTATATAAACTGCTTTTGGCAGGAGCAAAACAATTTTTTCGCTGAAAAAATTTGCTGATGAGAGTTTCTATGTGAAGACATTTGAAAGTAGTCCTTTACGGTAGATCATTCGACGGATGAATGGAAGATTAAAATAGAGATGAATTAGTATTGCAAGATGTGCTACAGTTTTATAAATTAACCTTAATAATGAACTACAGAATGCATACACGTAAAAAAAGAATCTTGGAACATTATTTCGGAAGATTAACGAACGGAAGTCAGTAGATTGTCATATTAAATTTTTGGCGTATGCAGCAATGTACAGTTTTACTAGTCCGTTTAAACTTTTTAAGTTTCATTTTTTTTTAGGATGGCTGAAGTATTGACAGAGTCGGGTTGTGGGTTTCTAGAGAACCCAGTTCTTAATTCGAGTTTGCTGCAGGATAGGAGAGTGGTGGTTGTTTCCGTTATTGGTAAAGAATCATTGGAACACTCAAAGACTGAATGTATTAGTTCTGCTTTACAGAGATGTGCTTTTATCGAAAGTTATAAGATACCTGATTCTACAGCTACAGTAATTTTTTTTTAATGTGGATAAAAGTAATTATTTCAAAATTTCAAGCTTGAGTACATTTAATGCTCATCACTGTCTATTTACGCATTGAAATCTTTATTACTGTTTAGA